TACAGAGGAGCCTGCTGTCACATTGTTCTGGAAGTTATTGCTTGCGTATTCAGAATCTAAGATGGTCTGCAGGTCTTTGGGACAGCATCTGTTAGTCTGTTTGTCCAACCTGAGACCGTCTTGAGTGTGCATATGTGCTGCTTGTTATGAAGCAGCCCTGTTCCCAGTGGTGCCTTCAGCCATGCACTCAGGAGGGCCGACTCGAGTTTCCAGGTAAACCCTCCTCTCATTCCAGTGCTGCTCTTCTGCATGACTGATTTCTTGGTGTTCTCTTCCTCCCTTCCTGACCTCGCATGTTCTACTGTCTACCTCTAAGAACAAGCGTAAGAGGTTCTTACTCAGATTATGGCCTTGTTCCTTATTGAAAACGAGGGTGCTGAAAAAGTCACTGGACCTCATTTTATGTTGTCATTACTTTGGCACTAATGCTCCCTTACCTGGAAGAGCACTCTCCAGCACACGAGGCCTTTCATGACCTCACGTAGTCCTTACGAGAGTGCTGCGAGCTGAGTAGCCATGTAGATGAGGAAACAGAGGCTGTTTACATATTATTACCTTTCTCATGTTCATAGAGAAACCGAGAGGTTCTTGGCATAACTCCCAGAAAATGCATGTTCCTTCAACACTTAGGTAATTTCTAGAAGCAGAGTGGACAGCAGTAGTCTATAAACAGATAAAATTCCGATTGTATGCTAATTTCCTGAGATAAGAACCTTCATGAAATCCGTTGTCTTGGCTGATTTCTGTGTAGAAAACATTGCTGATGGCTATTTGCTTGGCATTGCACAGGGGTCCCCAGAGCTCATTCCTCTTTTTGACTGAACTTTATGCCTCTTGGCCAGCAATTTCCATTTCCCCTCATCAACCCTGAGAACCTGCTCCATTCCAATCATACCCATTCCACCATTTATATACCTCACGTTGTGGCACCTGCAGTGTCCTTCTATGACCCCAAATGCACCTCTGTTGTGTGTTGCAGAGTGCCTTCTTTCTAAAGGTGCGTAGTATTCCATTGTATGACGTCACGTTCTCTCCGTCCACTCATCTGGCAGCAGATGTGTAGGCTGTTTACCTGGCTATTGTGGATAATGCTGCTGTGAGAAAGAAGCTTTAGTATCTCCACCAAATCCTGGTTTCAGTTCTTGTGGATAAACACCCAGAGTGGCCCTCCCTTTTATTTTTGTGTCTTTTATCTTCTGACTAAACCAGTCAGTTGTTTTTACTGAACCAATTGTATGCTTTCCTGCATCATAAAGAAGCCTCCAAGCCAGGTACAGTGGTGTGTACCTGTAGTCCCAGAGACTCCAGAGACTGAGGCAGGGGGATTGCAAGTTCAGGGCCAACCTGGGCAACTTAGACCCTGACTCAAATTTTTTAAAATAATAATAAATAAAAAGACTGGGGATGTGGGTCAGGGATAGAGTGCCCCTGTGTTCAATCCTAGGTGCTGGGGGGGCAGGGGGAACATCCATCTTCCTGCAGAGAATATATACTATGATGAACCTAAGTGTAAAGCATTAAAAATGAGCTGAAATTGCTGGGTAGTTGGATGGTTGTTAGAAACAAAAACACAAGCTAGACAATGCATATCACATAGTTCAGCTCTCTCATTTCATAAAGTACATCGTCCAGGAAAAGGGAGGTTCTTAGTCTTTCCCTTCACTTTAAGGTTCTTGCTATTAGAAAACACCATTTCATGTGTCAAATGGTATTCTAGTCAGCTTTTTTGCTGCTGTGACTCAAGGATCTGACCAGCACAATTGTAGAGGAGGAAAAGTTTATTTGAGGGCTCATGGTTTCAGAGTTCTTTGACAATAGAAGTCCAGCACCATTCCTTGGAGCTCAAGGTGAGGCTGAACATCATGGCAGAAGAATGTGGCAGAGGGAAGCAGCTTACATCATGGTGACCAGCAAACAGAGAGAGAACTCCATTATCCAGATACAAATATATACCCAAAGCCATGCCCACAATGCCCAACTCCTCCAGCCACACTACCACTTCGGTTACCACCCAGTTCACTGATGGGGTTAAGACAACCCAATCACTTCTCCTCTGAACCTTCTGGCATTGTCTCACATGTGAGTTTTTTGGGGACACCTCACATCCAGACCATAACAAATGATATAGCAGACCCAGATTGTGTGTCTGGGGCAGACATTCTGCACCATTTACATGGAAAACACTAACTGAAAGTTAACCTCTGTAGAGATGCGGGAATTCATCATGTTCCCTGAAAGGTATCCTGTTTGGGCTAGGGTCAAGCAGACTTGTTGATGCTGGCTCCCTCCGAATACCTACAACCTCAGTCAGTTTTCCGTGTCTGTGAAGTGGAGAAACAGTAGTACTCACTAGATTACCAGGATTAAGTGAGGTGGAATTATAGGTGGGATGAGCGTATCCCTGGTCCCTGTCAGAATAAACCAGCTCTCCTCACTTCTCCAGATGCCTGGGACACATAGTGAAGCCTGTGAGACCCAAGCAGAGCACCCAGGTGAGCAGCATCTGGACCCCTGTCCACACAGGACTGCTGAGAGACTGCTAGGAAGAGTTGCAGCCGATTTGTCATGCACAAGGCACCAGGGCAGGAGTGATGTGGGGTTTACTCAGAAGCTCGCCTTCTCGAGGTGGAGGGCCTGGAGACATGCAGAAGCTCTACATGTGGAGCGAGGGTCCTACTGCAGCTTCTGCTTTCCAAGTGTTCTTTGGGGTCTTTAAGGTCCATGCCTGCCAGAGAGCTCTGAGTATCTGAAGACATCAGCATGTCTCATGATTTTGAACATCTAACAGGAAGGGCCTGTGGGACCGATCTTGCTTCTCTCTGAAGTCTACTTACACCTGTACAATTTACCTTTCTTTTCTTGTTCTCTATCCAGTCACAGAAAGGATTTCAGATTCTTCTTCTTTTCTTCTTCTCCTTCTCCTCTTCTTCCTCCTCCTCCTTCTCCTTCTTCCTTTTCCTCTTCCTCTTCCTCTCCTTCTCCTCCTCCTCCTCCTCCTTCTTGGCCTCACTAAGTGGCTGAGGCTGGCCTTGAACTTGTGATCCTCCTGCCTCAGCCTCCCAAGCTGCTGGAATTACAGGTGTGTGCTACCATGCCAGGATTTTCAGATTCTTAAGGTTGATAATATGATTCTTCTTGTATTTACACAACCAAAAATGACTTTTGTAGTTTGTAGGACGAGTAAAAGAGGTTTTTTTCCTGAAGAGTGTCTGCGTCTCCTTATGTTTCTCCCCATGGGAAAAGAATGGGCAGCACTGACCTAACATTAATCAATGAACTCTGCTTCTCCTGGGCACCTCTACAAATGTGTGTTCTTTCCCCAGTCACCTTCAAGGAGCCTACCACAGTACTTTCCACAAAGTGTGTTGTCTTAGTTCATTTGTGCTACTGTAACAAAAGGCCACAAACTGGGTAATGCATAAGGAAGGGAAGTTTGTTTCTCACAGACCTGGAGGCTGCCCCAGGTGCCAGCAGGCTCAGCCTCTGGTGATGATCCACTTCCAAGCTAGCACCTTTGTGTCATATCCTCCAAAGAGGAGGAACATGTGTCCTCATGGCAGAAGGGACCAGGCAAGAGAGGCAGACCCCCTCACAGGCCCCTCTATAAGGACACCTGCTCTGATTCTGAGGGTGGAGCCCTCGTGATAGTCACCTCCCCAGGCCACACCACCCTGTGGGTCTTTGTGGTAGAACTTGTTGCTCAGATGGTTTGTGGATCTGATTTTATTGATTAAACCTGCCACACAGACCATTGTTTCCTAATGTTTTAGAGTACTTTACAGCTGTCGTTAAATGTATAATGTTCAATATTTTTTCCATACAAGTTTGAAAAGCAAAGGTGTCATCGGCGCTGTGTTCCAGCTCCCTGATGGCAGTGACGCGCAGACTTCTGGTCCTCGCCCGACCCTCCGACCACTCCAGGTGTCCCCCACGCCTCATGCTTTCTCAGCTTTGCCCTCTTCTGGTTTTCTCCAGAACCATCTTCTCCAGGCTCCCTGGCTTTTCCTCTGTGTCCAGACTCTGCCCTCCCTGCTCTCACCGCTGTCCTGTGACTGCTCACACAACCCCGTCAGCCCATTTCCCACTAATTGGAAAACAACTTGGGGAATTTTAATGTCCAGCACAAACCTCTTTCGAGGTGCAGACTCATCTACCCAAAATACCAGTTGTACATCACGAGCATCTAAAGTCAGAGCGCCACTGTGGCTCTTGACTCCCACCCGTACAACCCCCCTCTCTCAGCTTCCTGAGCCGAGGGCTCTCCCTTTGCACCCCCTAGTCACCTCCACCTGTCTCCACCTCCTCTGTGCTTGGGAACAACCTCTGTGGATGGCTCCAATAGCCAACTGTGGGTTTCAGCTTCTGCTTTGCTAGTGGAAGGCACTGGCAGGAGGTTGGAGGGCAGGAGGAGAGGGCAGTGGGCATGAATCCCTGGCTCCCTCCTGCTGCCAGCCTTGGGTAGTTCATGGCTACACTCCTACAGAGGAAGTCGCGTCTTCGTGGGACAGTCTTTTATAGCTGTGGTCACAACTACAGCCCTCTGCTCTAGGATCCGACCACCCCTCACCCCTTGGCACCTAGGATGCTGGTCCTGCTGTCCTGCGCTGTCCCCAGCTGGTCTCCCTAACTCTGCCCATCCCCTCACAGAGTTCCCTCCTCAGCCTTTTGGAGCGCACCATCTTGTCAAGATCCTGACTGACGTGTCTTCCTGGGCCCAGCGCCAGCACTGGTCTGCTTGCTCAGGCAAAGGATGGGCAGCACCCTCCCTCTGCCCCCTCCACATCCTGTCCACCCTGTTGACACCACCTCCTACATCTCCTTGCCCTCCTGGCCCTTACTGGTCTCAGCTCGTTCAGCCCACTCACTGCATGGCTAAGTAATCACTTAGAAATACAAATCAGGCCACATTCTTTCTCTGCTTAAAACTCATTAGTGGCTTTTAAAGTAAAATCCAAATTCCTTTCCACAGGCCCACAAGGCCCTGTGTGTGGGACCTCTGCAGGGACATTCCACACCTCACTCCGGCCAGTTCTGCAGGCACGCCATGGTACCTGCTGTTGCTTCTACACCTCAGGTCATTTGCTCATGCTGTCCCTGCAACACTCCCTACGGGGCACACTGGCTACTCTGCTTTTCCATGTTCCTTCTTGTCATCTCTTCAGAGAGGCCTTAGAACAGTCTCATCAAATGAGGTTTCTTCGTCCCACCTTCCCCCACTCCTGTCATTGTACCTGGTCAACTCCTAAAGTCTCCTACCACATATAATTATGCACATCAATAGTTTTTATGCTTGTTTACATTCCTCCCTTATTTACTTTTTGTCTTTTTCACTAGTCTGTAAGTCTCTGATGGTAAGGATGGTCTTGCCCCCACTGTCTAACCAGTCGTAACACAGTTCCTGATGTTGGCATATATCGGCATGTGATTGCTTACATTCTATAAACATTTGTTCAAAGCACAGAGGCTTAAATATTCAAGTGAGGGAGAAACAAGCACTAGTGCTTCCTTAAAAGGTTCACAAGAAATGGCAATGAAACCGAGAGGACGATTTTACATATGTACACACATGTATCTAACTCCCACCCCAGGGAATGCTCAACATTCCGATGTCCTTAGCCTGTTGAGGATCCACAAAAACCACTTAGCTACAGAGGAAGTTTCAATTACACAAGGGAGATTAAAGCTGCAGCACTTGGGAATAATTACCACGATCTTTTCCATTATACATGCTCAAGAAGAAGAAAAGAAAAAAGAGAGATCGGTATGAAAACCCAATGGAAAAACATTTAAAACACTAATCAAATGACTATTACAATCCTAGGAAAATTATTTCAAAGTCTCAGATCTTTGGTCTGAGGCCTGAGGACTAATCCTTGAATGATGTGGTTAAAACTCAAGAATTCCAAAAGCTCTGCTTGAGTGGGAAGGTTTCCAGTGCTCTGCTCTGGCCAGAGCCATCCAGTGAAGGGATACCTTCCTGCCTGAGGTGCTTCTGCACTCTGACAATCCCCCGACCACTAGCATTCTGCATCTCCAGTTGTTCTTCAGGTATCTGGTTTATTTCTCACTGCCGTGTGGTAATTTTTGTGGCTAGGGATGTGTTTTAAGCTTCTCTTCCTGGTCTAGATAATCTTCTAGAGGGCTGTGGTGAGCATCTACAAATCTTGCTACCCAAAATCTATTGTCTTTGGAAAAACAGTTCATTCTTATTTTTCTCTCGGGAAGACTCTCAGTCCCTACCTTCTGCAGCTCTGCAACTTTTGTGCTCCTAATCCTCCCACTTCTCATTTAAAACAGCACCTCCTCCTCTTCCAGCCAACGGCACTCAATGGGCACGAGTGCTTTCATTTGAGTAGCTGCCTCGAGGCTGCCCTGGGGAAAGCCTCCTGCCGCAGGGATCTGAGCATCTATCTGGCTGGAGCAGGACCAGAACTCCAGAACAAGGACACTCAGCCCCGGCTACAGTTGGGTCTGGGCCACACATCCAAAAAGGGTTAGTTCTTGGACTGGTCAATTACATTAACAAGAAATTCACTTTTTAAATATAAAGACTATTTTGGATTGGGGGTCTCTCAATGGAACCAAAATAATTTTTGAATACAGTAAGCACTTGATTTCCACCATTTTGGCAGTTGTGTTGAGGCCCCCTGAAAGAGCAGGAAGGCTTCCTTGATTGGAATGGGTGGGAACAGAAATCCCTGCCAGAATGAAGCTTCCTAAATGCTTCAGGGCCAAGCAATTCTATTCAAAAGACCAAAGTTTGTTTATTAATTATTACTATTTCCAGGCCATTCCTGCTGTTTCCCTCTGACCTTCTGAAAAACAAGTTTGTACTCATTTAAAATTAGAATGCATTTATTTATTCTGAAGAAAACATTTCTTTGTTTTTGTCAACAGCTGTAATTGCATCCAAACAGGCCAATTTAGTTTAATACTGTACCTAATTAAGGAATTTAAAACTATTTAAAAGGTATAATACATTTCTCAGAATTTAAATGTGACTGTGGCAGGAGGATAGCAAGTTCAAGGCTAACCTCATCATTTAACCAGGCCCTACGCAACTTAATGAGACCCTGTCCCCAAATAAAACATCAAAAGGGCTGGTGATGTGGCTCAGTTTCTGAGCGCCCCTGAGTTCAATCCCTGGTACCAAAAAAAAAAAAAGGCGACAATACTTTTGCTTAAAATTAAATAATTCTGCTGTGTAAATGGAAACCACTCTCTGTATGTTCATTTAACAATAAGAAGAAGTGGAAGTCTTTACTTAATATGTAAATATCATCACTTTCAAGGACTGACTGGTATTCCATATGTACCCGAATGTTTTTTTAAGAGCTCATCACTAGATGGATAGTCAGATCGATCCCCTAATGTGAGCGTGTATTAAAACGTGGCTAATAATCCTGCCATTTCTATCACTCTTATGAATACAGGTCAAGAAGGGGGGCGGCTTGTAGGTTGAACCATGGCGCCACTCACCCAACAGCCTTCTGAAATCCCGAGCTTCGGCTCTACGTGGAATCCGGCGCTGGTGGAGGTGGAGGAGAATCCTTGCCTATGCGCCCGCCTGGTAGGTGGAAATGGCCCTGTCTCATAACTTCCGTTTGATTTTCTTTGATAACTAATGGGTGGAACTTGTTTTTATGGGCAAACTATCAGTTTTTGTTCCTGTAAGAAACTACTTAGAAAAGGGGCTTGAGATGCCAGGCACCAGCTGGGCGGCCAGGATACTGGCAGACTCTCTGCAGGTGGCTGGGTGCCTCTGCCTGGGGGCTCTCCATGTGCACCGGCACTCAGCAGGGAAGCCCACAAGGTTCCCAGGAGAGGCAAGTTCCCAGAGAAGGAGCAGAACGTGCGGAGCCTCCAGACCCCCAGGAGGCCTCCTGTCCACTTGCTGTTTGACTCAGTGGCTCCTGGGCCAGCTGAGACCCGAGGCTGGGGAAAGAGCCCCAGCTGGGTGCAGGACGGACGGACTCACCTTGAAAAGGGGTGTGGACAGGAGGAAAGAACCACTTGAGCTGTTTCCAAACTATCCAAGCTTTCTCTAGGTCAGTATGTCGTAGCCAGACCTTTCAGCTCTTTTAACACATTCGTAGTTTTGAAGGTATTCAGATTGTTTACTCAGTGTGACAGGCAGTCCGTGCGGACTTATCTCTCCATCTGTCCCTTGGGTCAGTAAAAGTACTGATTTCATGTCCTGTCGTGTCTGTATCCTTTTCTGTCCACCAGTCTTCACCTCAGGCTGGTTCAAGTGCAGGTTTCCCAAGCCATCACCGCAGAGGCTCACTGCCATCCATCCATGGACGTCTTCCTATACCCGCTTCAAGAGCTGGAGTTGCTGAAGAGTGTCTTCCTACACCGGGTTTAAGAGCTGGGGTTGCTGAATGAGGGACTTCCAGGTAAGCATGCTTATTGTTTAAGATGCTCACCATTTCCAGCTCTGATAACAATATACTGCCTGATGGAGAGAGGCTTTCTTGCAGTCAAATTTTCCTGGCATGTTGTCTAGGAAGATTCCTCAAAAAATTTTTTTTCTTAATGTTTTCCTAGTGCTAAGGTCCTATGGCTGTAGGACTTTTGATTAATTAATTTATCTTTTTATTTTCATGGTGTAAGCAATTGAACCCAGGACCTTAAAAGACCTTTATTTTGCAAACATGTCATGCTTAGTAAAGAGTCCTTCAGAATGAAAACAAAACCTAGATACTGACAATACAAATATCGTATTCTGAATATGAGACTCTTCTTACTGAAAGAACCATCAGAAGAGATATATGGTGGCTGGGGATGCAGCTCAGTGGTAGATGCTTGCCTGGCATGGGTTTGATCCCTAGCACCACTATAAAAAGAGCGTGGGGACAGAGATTGTCAAATAACCAGGTCATTTTTTTTTTAATCTGTTAGTCATTGGCGGTGTGGGTACATAGCAAGCTTAAGCCAATGTAGCCATCTCCAGACATGGGATCTTGTCCCCACCAGCCATGTCCTTTCTGCACTCCTTTCTGCAGTCTGCACAGAGTGGGGACCCATCCTGATCCTGTGAGAGCCGCCATGGTCACCAAGTTCGCCATCCACTGGGAGATGGACAGTTAAGCAGGTAGTTGTGATGTGGACAAGTAGTTTTGTCTTTATACCCAAAGACTCCATGCCAACAAGAGCTCCATTTCCTAAACCCAACAGGATGAATTCCTCCAAGCACCAGGGGAGCTGTCAAATAAAAAGCAAGTCAGCCTCGGGTAAGGAGAGACAGTGTAGGAAAGCCTTATTGCAAGGGGAGGGACCACAGCAACTTTGGCCACGAGGTCTGCTCACATCAGCTCCAGACACCTCCCTCAGGGGGAGTCCAGAAGGCACCACACCTTTTAGAAAATGTTGTAAATTAATCACAGTGTGGGATGCCACCCATGAAGCTACTTCAACCGTGAAGCTACTTGAATGGCTTTTACTCAGTACTGAGCTATGGGGGACTTAGGTCTCCCCTGGGGAGAGAGGTCTTTCCGGCATTCCCGTATGTAGGCTGCCCGAGGCGCAAGATCTCTGCCCTCACTGTACTAGTGGGACAGGTCTTGGAGCTCCAGAGTTGGGCCTAACCCATAAGAACCCACCCCCTACTTCATTTGGCAAAGAATATTCCATGGAAACCATTGAAGTTCCACCACATAAATAAAACAAATGAGGTCTCTCCATCTTTCTTTCCAGTGTGGAAGCTCGACCCCTGAGGTCGAAGAGCCCTCCTGCCTCCCCACTCCACCCCCAACCCCTGTTTTCGAGAACTGCTTCCTGTGTCCTGTGGTTTCTTCGCAGTTGTCTCTTTCTTAGCTGTTACACGCAGAGGAAATCCAAATTTCTTTGCCTGTAGGGGACGTAGGCAAGACCACAGGAAAATATGTTAGATTAGAAGACAGTCCTTCTCTTTATTTAGCTTTGGAGGGTGAGGTAGAGTGAGAGAGGTGACTTCCCTTGGGTGGCATGTGTCTGCTTTGCAACCTCGGTGCCCTCTAGAACCTGGAAGGCCCCAGCGTTTAGGAGGCTCCTTGTGTCCCAACGCTGCAGCCTTTCTTCTGTGTCAGAGGAACATCGTTGTAATGTTGGGAAATCCTGGCCGGGTCACAGTGAACCATCTGGAACAAAGGGCAGCATGACCTTCTAACTTGCCTAATAGTTTGAAAATCCATTTTGAGAAGCTCAATGCAAAAATGACCTTGCTCCAATGTCTTTTCTGTACTATGGGTTTTAAATACATACCTTCTGAGAAGGCAGTAAATTTACTTGAATTTCATCTTCAACAGTAAAAAGTAACGGCTTAGGTCCATTGCCTCCTGCTCCTAGATGCTGCTAATGTGAAAGAACCCAAATCCCACATGCCTGTTTCGAGAGCTGCAAGAGCAGGTGCGTCGGCATCCTGTACGGCGCAGTTAGCCACGGAGGACTCACTCGCTGTTGTTGCTTGGAAGCTTTGCTGGAATTCTAATCTTTCTTTCTTTTAATCTTAGCTTGTGAAATAGAAGGTTTTGTTTTGCTCAGCTGGTCGATTCCCTAGGTGCAGGTATTTGGCAACTATAAACTACAAATTAGGTTAGGTATGCAGAGCAGAAAATTTCTAGTTTATAAATAAAAGCAATTTATTTTAACCCAATAAGAAAACAAACAAAAACACTAATAAAGGAAACAAATAAGAATGTATAAACTATGGGGCTGGAATTATGGCTCAGCGGTAGAGTGCTCACCTAGCACATTCGAGATGCTGGGTTCAATCCGCAGCACCACCTAAAAATAAATAAAATAAAGTTATTGTGTCCAACTACAACTAAAAAAATATTTAAAAAGAAAGAATATAAAATATCATTCCATAAGACCAAAGCTGATGAACCAGTTTAGTTCCCAGTCTAAACCTGGGAGGGAAGAGTGGGGGTAGGTACGAACCTCAAATGGGTCTACCTTTTCCAGTCCTGTGCTCTTCTGTGCGAGCAGGGCCTCTCTCCATAGTTCTCACAGACATCCCAGCCCCACGCGCACGTGGACCAGCAGAGCGCAACACCAGTACTCTGCTCTGACAGGAGAGAAGTCAGCTGTGCCCTCACCAGCACCACATCTCTGAGTGCTCTCCAGGGGCACTTTTCCTGCAGGGGCCAGGTAGTAAGAACGTTCCCCTTTCAAGCCCCTGTCTCTGTTCCAACTAGTCAACTCCGCCACCTAGACCTCTGAAAATGGATGAACACAGCTGGGTACAAGCACGACTTCATTTGCAAAGCAGGTGGTGGGCTGGCTGACCTAGAGATGCCCGGGCTCTGCCTGGGGGCTGGGGTCATTCACTGTGAGGAGCAGAGTCCAGCTCTCCACAGCCAGGAGCTCAGTTCCCAGGGACTTCTGATCTCTCCTGCCACCCTCCTCTTGTGTCCTCTGCGCATGTTCTGCTCAAGTTAGCTCCAGAGGAACTGGCTGGTGGGGACAAGCAAGGCGAGCAGGGACAAGAGACAGCTCTCAACAAGCCTGTCTGTGGTGACATCCTCCTCCTGTTGTTCACAGCTCCCCCAAGCAGGAGGGGGGTGGGGCTTTGTCTGGCTTGGAACCCGACTGGAGCAGTCACATTTTATTCTGGGGTCGGTGATCTCAAGCGTGGAGCTGCTCCAGGAGTGTGAGATCCAGCTGCAGCTCATCAGGGACAGTCGCTCATTGACTGTGTCCTGATCTCAGGCTGTCACATTCCAGATGAAACTCCAGTACTTTCTGCACATTCTAGAGTGTTGCCTAAAATAACTACATTTTTAAAATGTGGTTCATGTTTCTTTTGCTTTATTAGGGTTGAGGTTTTGGGGTTTTGTTTGCTTTTTGTGAACTTCAGTTGTGTACCAGGGAGGCTGCGTGGTCTCTCCTTTTCCTGCCATCTCACCTGCATGAGCACTCCTCCTCTGCCCTTTTATCTGCTTCTCTGCAGCTGACCCCTCTGGGGCCTTATGACGGTGCCATGAGGCTTCAGGGTTGCAGGTGCTCGGAAGCTTCTTCTCTCACCGGCCTCAGGAGAGCATTTTTGGCGATGGTTTCTCCCCTCTCTTTTCCTTCTCTCCATCTCATGTCCGAGTATTTGGTGCCTCATCTGCTGCCCCTGCTCTGCTCTCCTCTACTTGATAATGTTCCAGCTGCCAGTAGGGACCATGCTGCTGTGTGTCCTGCAGCTGCAGAGATGAAAAGGCAGCTCCTGCCTTCGAGGTTCAGGGTGCAGAATGACGAGAAGGCAGATGCAAGCAAGCCTGACGCTGGGTGCCGTTGTCTGCCTTGGTGAACTGCAGACACTGTGTCCATCAGCCTTTCAACGCGTGGCAAATACCTGAGAAAAGCAACTTAGAGGAGGACGATATGCAGCTCATGTTTCAGAGGTTTTAGTTGGCCTGTCCCACTGCCCTGGGCCTGAGGTGAGGCAGAACGTCAGGGTGGAAGGACATGGTGGAAGAAAGCTTGTCAGCTTAGGCAGCTGGGAGCAGAGAGCAAGGAAGGGGCCAGACAAGATAGAGTCCCCGGGGGGCACACCACCAGGGACCTTCTTCCTCTAACCCTCTGCCTGTGGTTTCCGTCTCTTCCTTGGGGTCCATTCATCCACCAGAGTGATATCCATTGTTGGGGTCAGAACCCATCCAGTCATTTCCCAAAGTCCCACCTCTGAGCCTTGCTGATGGGACCAGGCACTGCATGGGGACCAGGCACTGCACAGGGTCCAGGCACTGCACAGGGTCCAGACACTGCACAGGGACCAGATACTGCATGGGGTCCAGACACTGCACAGGACCAGACACTGAACTGTGACCAGGCACTGCATAGGACCAGGTGCCACACGGGGTCCAGGCACCACACAGGGTCCAGGCACTGCTCAGGGTCCAGGCACTGCACAGGGTCCAGGCACTACACAGGGACCAGGCACTGCACAGGATCAGGCACTGCACAGGACCAGGCACCACATGGGAACCAGGCACTGCATGGGACCAGCATTCAACACATAAACCTTTGAGAGACATTGTGGATGCAAACGCTGACATCAGTGTTGACTAAGTGGCCACAGCCCAGTTGGGCGGGCAGGAGTGGAGCTGTGGTACATTATTGCAATCCAAGGATGGGAGGAATGGCACCTGGTCACCTTTGGAGGCCCAGCCAGGGCTCACCCCTGTGCAGCATCAAGTCCTGAAGTACAACCCTCTGCCACCTCCAAGACAGCAGGTACAGCACTCCTCCTGAGAGGCCCTGCTGCTGCAGTTGGGCCACAGTGAGGGGGAGAGGAGAAGAAGAGGAGAGGGAAGCCCCAGGCTCCACAGACCCTCCTGATTCTGCTAGAGCACATGGGGTGCAAGATCCTGCCTTCTGATTGCTCACTGCCTGAAGGACCTGCAGAGTTGCAGAAAAGAAATGACCAAGCAATTTTGTCAGGTCAGTGTATCAGCCAGCACTGGTTGGCCTTTTGCAGTGCCCAAGTTCTGAGAGAACACAGAGTGAAAGGAAGTGAGGATCTGACTAGTTTCCTCCAGAGGGGAGTTGGGGTGTGAAGGTTCTGCTGTTCCCAGTCTTTGCTGTCACTGGAGAGGCAGCATGTGGGCTCTGTTAACACATCTCGTGCTGCATTTTGAGTTGTTTTCTCAGGAAAAATGCCCCAACATATATGATGAGGTCAATGGATGTCAGGAGCAAACGTGTTCAGAGGTTTCCTAAGATTGCCAATTGCTTTCTGAGAGGATCATAATAAATGTCCACTCCTTGCCCCAGCATAAAAGGTGTCCAACTCACAAAAACTTAACAGTATCAAAAATCATGCTCTGAAACATCTCCAGTACAACAGGTAAAAATATCTCACATTTCCTTTGTGTGTCCTTGATTCCCAGTGATGTGGAACACTTTATCGTGTTATTAGTCATTTCTCTGTCCTCTCCTACCAACCAGCTGCCTCTGTTTTTGCTCTGTGAATGGATCCTCCACAGGTGAGTTGTGTAACTGCAGCAGGACAGCAGTTGAACCGGAGTGCTGTGTTGGTTCCCGATGTTGGACTGGCAAGGACTTCAGAGTTAAGAGCTGGGGTTCTCAAGGCTCATCACAACAGCTGTCTCCTGTGGGCTCTCTGGGAGACGGCCCTACAGCTGCAGTGAGCCTGCGTGTGACAGTAACACCCTGGGCCCCTCAGCCTGCTCGTCCCCCAAGTGGCCACAGCCCTTGTTGCTCATGGGGGTCTCTCCTCTCAGAGTTAGTTTCAAGTCCAGCAGGACTGACAAAGTGCACCTGGCACTAAGGGAAGCAAGTCTGCAGGCAAATTTGGCAAAACTCATCTCGAGATCTCAATTTAGGAAAAAATGATTTAGAATTGGTTTTCTATCCTCATACCTGTTAGAACTGGGTGCAGTTTGACAAACCTGGCTTTCTGCCAGATCTTGAAATAAGCCTATATAATAATGAAAGTTAGTTTTCTAGATATTTAGATTTTCACATCCGAGATTCACAAATCATTTTTAATTTTAATTTTGTAGAACAAAATGAGAAAAGCATGACGTTTGGACCCTCAGATGCTTGACCCTTCTCTCTGCTTCTGTTGTTTAGTAAGCTATTTTTGTAGGGTTAGATTCTTCAAATATCGCAGCGGTACATAGTACTTCTCACAGTTCTGTTTTCTTCTTATTAATGACTTTTAATGAAGACAAATATAGGAAAAGCATTAAACCTAGACAAAAAAAAAACGCAGAGGTCCTGACACACACTGCAGGAATGAATCTCACAGAATAGCAACCACAAGCAGCGTGTGCCGGGCACCTGAGGGTGTGGTCTAAGACCACTCTTCATCTGCTTTGTACCAGGGGACAGCTCCAATATTGTGTCCGCTCTGCGTTTATTTTGTCTTGTGTATTTTCATAAGTGCTTTCGGGCTGCACGTCCGTCTTGGAAACCTTTAGCGTTCCCCCAGCACAAAGATGGATACTCTGCCTTTTGCCTTCACTGAGGCGTTCTGGAGGGCTCCCAGGTGGGCCTGGCCTTCAAATCCCTCAGCCAGTGGAGACCACTGGCTTTCGTGTGGAATGTTTCACATTGTGTCTGGAAAGTCCCGAGAACACCCAGATAGTGGCCCAGGAGCTACAGGGGGATGGCCCCAGGGACAGATGTGGTGGAGGAGAAGTGGTGAGGAGGGACAGGCTGAGCGTGGTCCTGGGCCACTCTGCCACACGCAGCCTCCTTCTCCACCTGTAAGATAAGTGCCACTTTGTCTGCTGAGGGAGGAGTCAGGGTGAGAGGAGCTGGTGGATGCGGAGCACCTGGCATCGTGGCACTCACATCTGACGGTATCCCAACCACCTGAGTAACAGACTCCAGAGGCCCTGCATGTCGAGACAGGGCTCCGCTCAACCGTGTTTCCATCTGTGTGCCCGCTCATCCCAAGCCTGCTCACACACATACACACCCCCAACACACACACACCTATGACCATGTTTCCACCTGTGTGCCTCTCATCTCAAGCCTGCACACACACACCCACCCCAGGATATTTTTTAAAACCTTAAAAGTCTTTAAATGGAAGATCCTCAAACATGTTAAAAAATTCTGCATTCAACAAGAATGGCATATACATTTTTAACAAAAAATAATACATCAGTGGAAATACTTCAAAACATCCATTTTAAGATGTTCTTTCAGTCTGGGGTTGTGGCTCAGTTGTAGAGCCCTTGCCTAGCACTTGTGAGGCACTGGGTTTGATCCTCAGCACCACATAAAGATAAATAAATAAATAAATAAATAAATAAATAAATAAATAAAGGTATGTCCATCTACAACAAAAAAAATATTTTAAGGTGTTCTTTCTCCTTCCCTCTCTCCCTCCCTCCCTCTCCCTCTCTATCCTCCTCTCTTTCCCTCCCTCCCCTTCCCTCCAGTTCTCTCTCTTTTTCTCTCCCTCTCTCTCTCTCCCTCCCTCTTTTTCTCTCTCCTTCTCTCTCTCTCTCCTTCTCTCCCTCCCTCTCTCCCTTCCTCTCCCTCCCT